AACACTTATTGTTGGGGGAGCTCTCCCCCTAATTTGGTAGGCGGCGCCTCCCCCAAAGCCCTTCAGGGGAAGTGTAGCATAAGGGGAAGGGGACCCCTCCCCTCGAGGGGAGTATAGCATACGGCCCCAGGTGTTTTCGCGCCGAACAGATGTGACCTCGTGCTCAGCTCATCAAGTCGATCCAAAACAGAATTTTCCAGCTGATTCTTTCCCCAAGAATGGGTTTTAGAAAAATGTGGCTCAGCTCTCAAGAGGTGCAGTAAGCTGTAACTACTGCCGAATACTTAGTTCTTAATTGATTTCAGGACTATCACTGGTGGTGGCGCTCATTTTTCACGAGTGGTTTCACGGCTGTATACTTGTTTGCGTACTGCGTACGCTTTTTCACAAGCAAATTGGCGATCACAGGAGTTGTACGTTTTTTTTTCTTTCTTTTCTTACGATATAACAGTTATGAGTCACTTTCATTATTATTGTAGACTATGTAGGATTTTTGTTGAGTCGTTGGGGGTCTTAGATGGCACAGCAGAAATAGGCAGAGTATATTTATCAGGAAGTAGACACCACAACTAACACGAAAACGTTCGGTTTATGTAGTCACTGAGATCAGTATAATTAGGCGCCGAAAACTAGTACCTAATAGGGTAGGTTACGATCAAAAGTACTTGTCATGGTGGGTCGGTAGATCAATGCGATATCTAACAATTTTCATTAAAATAGTTCTTTAACCTTTTACTGTTGAGTTGATTCATTTGTATTCGTCAAAATTCATTTGAGGTCTCAACGATACTGTACTTCTCTTACACTGCGATATTTGTCTTCATGTTCTTTTTGATGACCGGTGAGTGTTTATGTCCCTACATTCGCAACTTTTTGCTTACGAAGGGTTCCAGTTGAAAAATGGAAAATCCTGCGATATCTGTCATGTTTGAAAAAGCGTTCATATTTTGCGACTAGTACGATTTCCAAATCGCGCTACTGTGGCCGGCCACATTTCATCGCTATAGGAACTTGAAAGGGTCAGAATAAGCTGCTCCCGAAGCTGATCTCTGATGTGATTTGATTAATGGGTGCAGTGGTTTAATGATTTGCAGGGGAGCGTGATCGGATGCAGTCACGCTGTCGAGGAATCGATAGTATCGCGAAAAATGAAGCACACCACTGAGTTCGGTTTTGAACTGGGCGGAGCTAGAGCCAGGAACATGGAGGCGATTCATCGACCTTTAAGGTGGTTACGAGCGTAGTGCTAGTTGCCTTCCATGTTAGCAAGTAGCTGGCCCAGAACGACGGTATGCATGTTCAGCCGAGGGGAGGCGGCCGTTTGGCGCGATTTCATTGCCGTTTACACGTTCTGACAGGTACATGCCTACCGGATAACTTGTTCGAATCACTGAACTATAAGGTTTTCGTAATTTGTAGCCTATCAAAACCCTCCTGTTTTTGGTTATAGTGCTCATTATTCAAACAGTAAGTTTTCTTCTAATGATCACTTGGGGATATACACTAGTTTGGAGGTTATGGCGAGTTGTTTCCCCTAGAAGTCGGTTTGCCTGACATGTTCTGACGCGTAGGCGACAAAAGAATCGCGCCTAACGACATACACCCTCAGCCGAGTCTGTACGAGTAGCTCGCCCATTATGGTACCTCCCCTTAAGTACTGGATGAGGCACGAACGGACAGTCCTATCGGTTTGAGGAGTTGGGTTTTAGAGTTACTCTTTGCTGTGGTATTGACAGACAAGTAGAGCAACTTAAAGATAGCTGATCAACCCATTACCGGGCTTATCCCTCCCATTTATCCAGCTCTCATTCCAGGGTATATGACGAGTCGTAAGTTGCCACACTGGCAGCGATGCCGCGCCGGGAGAGAGAGGAGTTTTCCTGCCTGGCCATTCGAATTTAAATATTAAAGGGATGGGAAAGGGTGTTACGGCTATGGTTGCTGAAATGTTTTGATGCTCCATATCAGCAACGATAGCAATTGACGGGTAGCAACCGTCCAAAACACGCGAAATATGTGCGGAAATTTGGAAAAATTTGGAAAAAATTCAACAATTCTCACGAGTTTCGCTGCTATCACCGAGAAACTGACGCGCAATTTGAGCTTCGCGCCATTCGCCGGGTGATGCCCACATTGAAAATTTCCCGCGCTCATCAGCAGAGTGCGCCGCGCGCGATGGCGCGGCGGATTGCGATCCTCTTGTCCGTCTTCCTCTAATCCACCTTTCTGATTTCGACTTGGAGAATACCATGATCCACGGTCCTTATTTCCAGGTACGATCGGATTCCTGGCCACGTACTACTTTATGCACAAAATTTACGCCTCTGTGAAAGTGGACTGAGTACGCCTTCGAATAGCCCATACTTTTCCATCTTTTTTTTACTTCTTTTGATCAAAGATACTTTGTTAATATGGGTTCTTTTCTATTCCGGCACATATATTGGTCATTTACACTATTTATAACGCCCTGCTTTATTACTGCAAATGACGGTTACTAACCCTGGTCGTTAGTATTTATACTGTGTGTGGAATTATATGTAAAACACATAAGAAATATATATACATAGTTATATAGAGATTAAAAGATGTATATTCCCTTTCAACCGCCGCTCCCTTTCCTCTGATTGTTTAACTGATCGCCATTAGGCAATATTGCTGTATTTAATAGTTGCGGGCGTTTGTTTTTCCATTTACAATGATTTGATTTGATTTTTTGTGTGATTACCAGGTACATGTTAAGCCAATGGTCGGGATGTTTCAAATTCCAGCAATGCTCTCGCTATCCAGCTTTCGATTTAATCTACGTGCGCTGATCATTTCTTTTTCCATCATCATTACATTTCTTCTTGGTCAGCAATATGATGTGGTGTAGTTTTAGCTATCCTTATTTTTTTAAATAAAAATATTATAAAAATCCTTCGTGAGAACTTCTGGGATAAATCCATGTTGACAACATGTGTGACAACGTATGATTCTATGAGGATTGAACAATAGTCGATTGGTACAACATTAAATTGAAATTTCACAAATATTGGCAGTATACAGTCCTCCGAATTGTGCGTAGGAGCAGCGAGTGCGCACAATTTTACAACTTCACGCACAGTTGGGGGACTGCATGCTTCCTATATTTCTGAAATTAAACATGAACCTCTCATTATCCGCCTACTAGTCCCTACGAAGGGGGTGGGCGGCGGCGTTGGCGTGACCTTCGCTTCCTGGCCTCATGCCGGGGCGCTAACGCACTTTGGTAACTAAGCCGCCCTTGCGTTATAGCTTTTAATTTCGCGCTCACTTTCGGTGTTCTGTGTATCACATGTTTTCCTGAACTTGTAATCGTGATGGAGCTGCACGTCAACAGTTGTCGAATCTTGCAGCAGTTTCTGCTCGTGTCGTCCTCAGTCGTTACGCATGAACTGATAGGGATGAGCTTTATTGTAGAGACTTATCCCTTCGCTGAGCAAGTCCACGGTATAGCCACTAGAGAGGGGAGCGGTTCAAGGTCCGAATAACAGTTTCGCGCGCAAACTGTAGTACAGTAGTTAGTTGACTCGAGGTGATACTTTGACGACAGTCCAGCTGAATCTTGTCCTATGCAATATATGTACTTCAAAATCTTGTCTCAACAACTATAGAAGCGAAGCGATTCACACCGTTTCACATCCTGAGAGTCATGACCAGACCTCTTCAAGGGTTTTTATTGTGAATGGTAGTACATGGTTTACTCAATGATCTCCAGAACTTGAAACTGAAAAAGCATTAATTGATCACCAGTGGGCTCGCCGCATGACGCTGCCACTTTTTCACGGTCTCTGGACTGCTCGAGAGCCTGACTCCAATTTTTTAAGGTTAGCTCACGCTTTTAGACTCGCTCGGCTCTTTGTGGGCGTTCCTGGGCACACCGGGGACATGCTCAGCTCGTGCAGATATTTCACTTCTCCACCGACTTTTTCTTTGCGACCGCTAAACTTTCTCGAAAACCGAGTAAGGAATTTCGTGAAAAGCACCACCTATTATTCCAAACGCTCCGCCCGTTTTGGGTGCATTTGAAATAATAGGCGGTCTCCCCCAATTAGCCTGCCAGGCCCTTGCTAACATTAGTCCACTTTTTCCCCATCTCTGGGCTGTTCTAGAACCGAATTATGAATTTTCGTCTTCGACACCGCCAACTTTCAACGCGTGCGCCGCTCACAGCGGGCGGGGCTTAACATGGGTCATGTGTGGGTAGTGACAAGAGAATCGTAATTCTCCGCGCTGATGAGCGTCGTGTGCGACGTCGCGCCCGCAAATGACGATGGTTCCAGGTAGTAGATGGCGACAACAGGCAATCTCCCCCTCAAACAAAAGAATACAAAACGAAGACAACAAAAAAAAAAAAAAAAAAAAAGAAAAAAAAAGAACGTAAACTACCGAAACGATCTGGTCATGAATGTCTACAGGAGTCTCTACTCCAATCTACAATGGTAACACATCTTGAGATAACTCCCGCCATCGCGGGCGCGATGGAGCGGCAAAATTCCGATTCTCGTGCCCGTGTCCGTGTCATGTGCTGCTTCTTTCACATCTTTCTACTATGTCAGTGACTGAGCCGCCGTGCGCAACTGGGATCAGGGTACAGCATCGTTGTGCGAAACCCATAGGGGGGGGGGTTGTACTTGGCCACGGGGGACGTGAGGAGTATCGCAGATGTAGGCTCGCTAAGCAATCGAACAGTACAAAAAGTGTCATCTTGCTCGAGTCTTGATCGGAACGCGGCGGAAAGCTGTGCAGAAGACCCGATGTAAGGGGACTAAAAAGGTATACTAAAAAATATTAGCTATATAGCAATTTAGAATAGCAGAGAATAAATAAATAAATAAATAAATATCAGTTAATAGCATGAACTCGTAAGTACGTAGATGACTAAATAATACGTCTCAAACAGATTCGTGCGTATTGTCCTTTCCAAACCCTAAACAAACATCTGCTTGCATGGATAAAAGCACCTGAAATTAGAATTTACACCTTTCCACCACCTCTGCGTAGTAGCGTAATGCATGGCGCACACTCGGAGCAAATAGATCAGATCGATCCGAGCTCTCCTCTTTCACTCATTGGAAGGTAAATATGTGTTTTGAAGGTCCACTAAAGTTTCAGAAAGCGTATCCTGACAATGGCACACAGGAGTCGAACTTTGAGTACCGCATCAAAGCGGTAGCTTTTGGTAACCATCCTAAAATTTCTCTGATCTAGCGGTTCTAGAAACGTAAAGCTCTTAAAAAGAAAAAGGTGGGCCACTCCTGAATCAGGCGGTGTTTCGTTCTGATGAAACATTGCGTTTGGAAATAAGTAATCCTCGTGTAAAGCATAAAAAACCGCTCGCGATTTAGCCCTAGCTAATCCAAAACCCATTTGAAAGATTTCACGAACGGGGAACATTCAGATTGTACACTAGGTAGAAAACCGCAACAGGAGGGAACACTGTCTTGCGTAACTGCTGGACCATTCTTTGAAAGCCGCGTGCCAAACGCGCGCGATATAACCCCTGAAACAGACTCCAGGACTTTGGCAGGTCAACAACCCGGCCCAATGGGTTTTTTCCAATCGAAAGCCGGTCGGCAACGTCCGCGATCGATAATACCGAGAAGTAGAACGGAATATGCGCCGGCCGTTACTATCATTTTTTTCATTTGGTGTTCCGGCAATTCTTGTTTGTGTTTTTTCATGTTCGCTTTGTGTGTGTCGGCATGTTTCATGATATGTCCCCCGTCACCATTCATTTAATGCACATCTAGGGCCTGACACATGACCATGGGGCTATTTTTCACCAATTTAGCTTATCAATGATCACCATTAGTCGCTGTTTCGATTGTGTTCCTTGTTACAAGTTGCATGTCATACATGGTATCGAACGAGGAGTTTTATTTTGAATCCTAAGACAAAATTGTAGGTAATGCGAGGCTGTTGTTCAGCCTCATATTGCATGAGGCTGAAACAGCCTCTTATTGCCTGGATTTTAGAGCAGAGTCCGCCTTTCGAAATCCAGATTCCATTTCAGGAAGCCATTTCGTGTGAACATGCATCTGGTTGTCAGTTAGAGCAGGAGGGGGGGGGGTCGTAACTGGACCCTCTTCGAGGGGGGGGGTCGTACTCACACCGCCATTTCGCACATCTCCTTGCTGTACCCTGACTGGGATCCCTGTTCTACCTAGTACCTTGGTGAGGGTTGTAGCAGTAATAGGTCATGCTAATCTTTTGCTACTTATTTCTAGGTGCCCGCTGTCCTGCTGATTTGCGGACTCCTGGTCTATGGAACTTCTTTTCAAAATAAGTGCTCATATTTATGTTTTTGCTTAACATTTTATTCTGCGGCTAGAGGCTGTAGTCAAGATATTTTCAACGGTTCGATATTCTGTAATATGCAGGAGCAAGTGGAGATACATTCTGATCTGTGCAGTTGTTCATTCAAGCGTTTTCTGGTTTATCGTCGCTTTCCGAATGACGTTGACCAGAATCTGCAAGTATATGGATGTGTCCAGATGGGAGAAGTAGGAGAATGAGTCTTAAAAAAAACATCGTCGGTATTACCTCGGGTCTTTTAAATCGAATTCCGAGCGTTTGCCAAACGACATGGATACAAACCTGAAAGAAAGAATGAGTTTGAATTTAAAGACGAAATTCACAGAGATACCTGGGATCATTTAAATCGAAGCCGGAACGCTTTCCAAATGACACTGATGCAAACCTGAAGAATATCGAGATAAAATATGTAGGAAACTCGTTGTTCAATCTTTACCTAGGATCGTCTAAATCAAAGCCTGAGCGTTTTCCGAACGACATAGACGTAAACCTGAAAAAAAGTAAACAGATGAAATGCAGTCCCTGTCTGAAGGCAGCAAGAGGTGTGATTGCCAGGGTTCAGAGGAGAGAGAGAGAGAGAGAGAGAGAGAGAGAGAAAGGAAAGAAAGGAAAGAAGAGAGAGAGAGAGACTCGAAGATAAAGGCTCCACCCCTTTTCCCCTTCAAGTATGGACGATAAGGGGAGACAGTTTTTTTGTCTTACCTGGGATCGTCTAAGTCGAGACCGGAGCGTTTTCCGAATGACATTGACACGTACCTGGAACACTACAGTAAGGAACTGAACGAGGTAAAACTTTTTCACCTAGTACCTTGGGTCAAAATCAGGGCCTAAGCGCTTTCCAAACGACATTGACGTGAATCTAGAAAGTGTGACTAATCGGAGTATGATACCAATCAAGTTTAACAAGTACCTCGGATCATCAAAACTGAGGTCGGCTCGCTTTCCGAACGACATCGATGTGAACCTAAAATGTGTAAGATGACTGGTCTTTTTCTTGTCGAGGGTGAAATGATGTGATTCAGTCCAGCTGTGGCAGTATAATTCCGAACAACGCAAAATTTCTTCTTCGAAGTTGGTACGAGCAAACTTTCGATTGAAAGTTTTCCGCTTGCCACCGAATGTAGCCCCACAGCTCCGCCCATTTTTTGTGTTATTGGCCTGGAACAATTGCACGAAAGGTGGGGTTTTCGTAGTAATTTGCAATTTGGCAGTTTCAGTACACATACGCCAGTACTAAAGTATGCTCTTGTTTATTCCGACTTGCGTAGGAAGCCCTGCCCACTGTGCGAATAGCCCCACCCGCGACAGACCTCATAATCAATGTATGACTCTGACGCCTAACACAGGGAGACTTCTACCGGTTTTCAACTAGTTTTATCACTACTGTTCGCAGTTTGGAGGTCATCACATAAATGCCACATTGGACAAAAGGATTGACCTCAACTAGCAACTATTATGCTAACAATGCAGGCTTGTAAGAGGTGGGAAAGCGGCGCTGGTGGTGTGACACCAATGTAGCAGATTATCTGGTGTGAACCGTCTAAGTTGTACCTGGGGTCGTTGAAGTCGAGGCCTGTTGACCGTTTCCCAAACGAGTTGGAGAAGAACCTGAAAATGTTCGAAGAAATATTGCTAGATAGTGGAGCCCCATATAGACTTTTAGCAAGCTATTGCTTAGGAAGGAGTTATCACCCATGAATTTCATTACTCCCTGTCCTTATCAGAAAGACTGGAAGCTAAATTCAGTATTACCGCCACGGTACCGTAACCCAAAGGCGGCGCCCAGTTGATTGTAACTCCGCAGTGGACGTACGTATAACACCGAACTTTACGCCGGTACCACTATGGGAATTGTGCGGAAATGCTTAATACACTGCAGTGTTCGACGATGGACGGAAATTTCATGCACATTTCATTTATGAATTTTTCGTCTCGACATAGAGGCTCTGATGTTTGGCATTGCGCAGCGTAAGGGAATTCATAACGCCTCACAACGCTTCTTTCTAGTTTTTCTATTTACATCTGGAGAATAATTACATGAGTATAAAGAGCCGAATTACTTTTAACTTACTCCAGACCAGAGAATTGTTTCACAAGTGCTTTCCCCAACCTATTCCATGAAATTTAACTGCACGCGTAGTGATTGCAGAAGCGAAAGACGCCACTATTACAACTAGACGTAAAAAGTAGCGATCTGATCACTGACGTCACATTTTTCGTGACGGTACCATTTGGCGTCAGTTTGGTGCAGCTACAGTTCGGACTCACCAGGAAAGGTCAACAGGTCAGCCTGGTCATTTGCAATGAGATGCACATCATTGTACTCGACTTGAGACGGTGAACTCAAAACTAGTCTTCAAAATTTGCAGAACGATCCTCTGAGCGAAGTTATGGAGGTTTTTTTACTGTTTTTCTTCTTCCGGGCGCGCTGGCGCCGAAGTGATGGCACCTGTAGCGGGACTCACAGAGCTTTCGCGCAAAATAGGTGTCATATTCGTCAGGGAGGTTAAATAGCCCATAGAGACGGCAGCTTGGCGAAATCTGAGGTTCTGACCCAGCTTCGAAAAAAATGGGGTATGGATAGTCATGGCTGACTGATAGCCACCAGCGATACTACGGCTAGCATACTGATGATGACTGATTTCCAAGCTGAAAACAGCTCTTAAGTCATGTCTTTCAGCACCTGGCCCACTGATTCGTGCAGTTTGCATCATTTTCCTGATTACGGTAGGAAATCCATCTCGAGACCAGTAACTGATGGTGGGTGAACCCAGCCTACGGCCAATCACCCATAGCATAGCCCACATTTTCCAAGTTAGGTCGAAATATCAGATTCGGCTAGAAACTTGTCCCCAGGGGTAATTTGACCCGCTGAACATGAATATCATGGTATTTCATTGCAAAAACCCTTGTGACATGTGTTACGAGGGGGACAAGCACAAACACTCTTTCAGGCCACAATGGGTCTACACTTTCAAAAAACTGATTGCAGGCAGGATAGGGCAGGCGAGCAGAGATGTTAGAAGCTTTGTCAACCGTGTTCTTGGACAAATGCAAAAAGGCAACAGATGGCGGAAACCGATCCGACGACGTCCCGACTACGAAACCCACTCGCTATCCGTTGCGCTCTGCTGCCACGTGTCGGGAAAGACTCCATTCATTAATGTGAAGACGCTTCCACGTTTCGTCGCGATAGCATGTAAAACAACCACGAGGGAGAAATCCCTCCATAACTCCACTCAGAGGATCGTTCTGCAAATTTTGAAGACTGTTTTGAGTTCACCGTCTCAAGACGAGTACAACGGTGTGCATCTCATTGGAAATGGCCAGGCTGACCTGTTGACCTTTCCTGGTCAGTTCTGGTGCAACTAGGAGAAAAAATTTCCCAGTTCGAAAAGTCGTAGTTGTGAACGCGACCAACTACATGCAATACCACCTATTCTACCTTTCGAGGCGATGAGGCTAATAAGTCGACCGTAGTAAATTATTGTATACTACAGCGAACTTGGAAGCCC